ATGAACCAAGTGAAAAAGCACTTAAGAACATGCCCAGCAAACCGTAGGACCCCCATGAGGGTGGATGACACGGGGCTCCATAACGACACTTCATTGATGGCAGGACAGACGCAGCCTTCCAGGCGTCTGATTACCCAGTAAACTGAAATTGCCCCTTCAAATGCCAAAACTGTGTTTTAATCCTTGATTGTGCAAGTCTAAAGCTATAAGCTTCTTTGCTTCTCAGCCATCACCCGACCTTCGGGGTCATCCTGATGCAGGGCTGCCCTCAGGGCTGTCTGGTGACTGGCTGCACACACGACTGTGGCCTTTGAGCGTGCCCGTGATGATCTGTACGCCAGCTTTGACTTGTCGTTCCTACCAGAAGCAGTGTCCTCCCAACAGCCTTCTAGTTTTTTTCTGTTTTGAGAATTAGCCCAAGTTGAGTTGATAAAAATATATGTTAAATTGTTAAGATTAAGAACTTGAAAAACGACTGACTTGACTGTATAAAAATTTGTAAGACTTGTGTAACCAAGTACATAGAATTGGCTTCCAGTTCAAGGTCAATGACTGACCCACATGCTTAACTCCCCTTCCTTGATGAAAAATAAATTTCCAGAAAATAAATCCATTAATGACACCGAGAATACGAGAGCACACCAGCTTCTGGAAGAGGGAACACAGGCACCATCGCCGACATCCAGGGGCCACAAGAAGCCACAACCCAGGATGCAAACATAAGGCTGATCACGATCCTGCTTCCCAGGGGAGCCCTGGGAGTCCTGAAGCTCCAGCGCATCCCCCGGGCAGTGAGGAAGGTATCCAGGGACATGCACCTGAGAGCTACAGACAGAGCAGCCCACCCGGACCTCCCTCAGACTCTGCACACAGAAGGGCTGGCCTAACACAGACAAGCAGTGTGTGAGCTCCCTGTGCGGTGTCAGTGCCCAGAACCAAGACTTTCCTCTTTTGTCTCGGGGGACAGTGGGACATGAGGTCAGGGTGTGTGTGGGGGGAGGTCAGGCTGCCTGCTCCTCAGCCATAAACCCTCAAATGAAGTTGTCACTTGAAAGATGCCACCTTTGTACTGAGCCCCCACTGGTCCAACCCATTCAGGGGAGCAGTCTGTTGGGGGAAAATCTCCAAACAGGACAGGAGAGCCATGCCAGCCATTTATTTTATAAACCAATGTATTCATTCGCTATAAGCATAAAAGGATGAGTAAGATCACCAGAGCCTAGAAGGAAACTGAAGCACACATTTCATAAAAGGACCAAGAGAAATAAAAGGCCAATTGTCCTGAGAGAAAACAAAATAGATGACTCGAGGAACACCAAAGAATGTTCAAAGTTTCGATTTAGTATGCTCAGATATTCAAAAGATAATGCAGCATAAGACAAGAGCAGGCTCCTATGAACAAGGGACTGTCAAAGAAAGAGTTCATGGAAGCAAAAGAAAATAGTGAGAAAAATGTGTCAGACACAACTGACAGAAAACTAATAACAATATTCTAGTTGTGAAGAGCTCTATAAATTGCTAAGAAAAAGAATCCCACTAAACCCCAAAATGATAAATAGAAAAAGGACGTAAAGAAAATTAAAAGAAAGACATTAGTGATGTATAGTCAACATCACTAATAAAAAAGGAAAATTAAAATACCCATTTTTCAACTATTGAGTTAGCAAAGATTTTTTTAAATACTCATTTTTGACAAGATTTTCTTTACCTGGGATTATATGCTCAAGGATCAAATTCTATATGAAAAGATACTCATTAAAACAATACTTGCAATACTGAAAAACTAGACAAATAAAAAGTCTGATTATAGGGCTGGCCCGTGGCACACTCGGTAGAGTGCGGTGCTGATAACACCAAGGCCACGGGTTCGGATCCCATATAGGGATGGCCGGTTTGCTCACTGGCTGAGCGTGGTGCTGACAACACCAAGCCAAGGGTTGAGATCCCCTTACCCGTCATCTTTAAAAAAAAAAAAAAAAAAGTCTGATTATAGTGATTACACAGAGGCAAATCAGATTTTTAAACTGTTTTTAGGAAGTGCCTTTAAAAACATTAAAAAAATGCTTGTTTGATAATGTTAAGTGAAAAAAGAGCAGAGCAAAAAAGATTTAAAGTGGAGAGGGGGAGAGCTAACTTGACAGTCTGTCTTTAACCAGTAAATTTAGTATGTTTTCCTTTAGTATCATTACACATTATTTGGGTTTAATTCTACCATGTGTTATTTATAATGCTTTCTTCTTGCTTTTTAAATCTATCTTCCTTAGTTTCATTGCCTTATGTTGGACTGATTGTGTTTTCTTAATTTCACTTTTGTTCCTTCCACTGGTTTAGAAATTATATATTCTAGTTCTCCTATTTTGGTTATTCCCCTTAAAATGTCAACATGCATACCTTGTTTTAAAAATTCAAATCACTCGCTAGCTCCTACCCACTTCCCTGTCAATACCTAGATTGTTTCAACTAAGATAACCCTCTCCCAATCTTACCCCTTATTGCTGTGCAGTATTTTGTTCCCACCTCATTTTTGTACTGTGCACATTCGTCTCTGTTTAATCACCATTTTTTATTTACAGTCAACGCTAGTTTGGATTTGTCCACATTTACCAGTTTCTTTGTTCACCATTATGTGGACATTGGTGTTTCTATGAAAATCTATGGGGCATCAGTGAAGGTCTGTGAATGGTGGTGTCTCTCAGTCTTTGCTGGAAAATGTCTCTTTCAAGAGCAATAGCTTAGCTGGGTAAGGATTGACATTACTTTCTCAGCACATTGATGATATTATTTCATTGTCTTCTGGTTCTTATTATTACAGCATGAGTTCTCCAACTTTCTTCTTTTTTAACATTGCTTTGACTGTTCAGGGTCCCTGGCATCTCCATATGAATTTTAGGATCAGCTTATCCAATCTGCAATAAAGTATTGTTCAAAGTCTGATATGCATTGTATTGAATTTATAGATCAACTTGGGGTCGGGGGGTACTGCCATGTTAACACTATTAAATCTTCTAATCCATGAACTTGGGAAATCTTTCCATTTATTTAGGTCTTCTTTCATTTCTTTCAGCAGTGTTTTGTAGTATTCAATGTACAAGTCTTGCATTGCTTTGGTTGAATTTATTCCTACATATTTTACTCTTTTTGATGCTGTGGTGAATGGGATGGTTTTCTTTATTTCATTTTCAGATCATTCATTGCCAGTGTATAGAAATATGGCTAATTTTTATGTATTTTCTTGTATCTTGCAACATTGCTGAGCTCATTTATTAGCTCTAGTAGTTTTAGTTTATTGTAGATATGGATTCCTTAGGGGTTTCTATATAAAAGATCATGTCACCTGCAAATATAGTTTTACCTTTTCCTTTCAAATCTGGGTGCCTTTTATTTCTTTTTCTTAATTAATTGCACAGGCTAGAATCTCCAGTACAATGCTCATTAGATTTTTTAACATTAAGATTCATGTCTTACTTCAATCATCTCTTGTCAAATGTCTTTTAATACTGCATGCCCACCAGTCCCCTACTCTCTCCTGGGGGAATTCCTCCTAGATGTAGCATGACCTATATCTTTCATATGTCCCATCTTTTTACATGTCTTTGTTTTATTCTGGGGAATTTCCACAGATCTAGATGTTCATTATTTGATTTTTCAGTTGCAGCTAATCTGCTGTTTAGCCTATCATGTTTTAAATTTCAATGCCTATATTTTCAGCTTGGTTCTTTTCCAAATCTTCTATTGGTTTCAAATCCTTCTTTTATGTCTAATGATTTAAAATACTTTGACTCTCTGATTATGATACCATATCTCAAATTCTGAACTCCAATTTTTCTGTTTGTTGTGTCTGTTAACTCTTGCTCATGGTGAATCATTCCTTTGTATTTTATAATTGTTATTGTAAGCTCACCACTAAGAGGGCTTGTTTTTTCCATGGGAGTAATGAAGAATTATTGCCTCACTGTTTCTAAAACAGAGAGACTGTGACAAGAAACAGAAAAGAGATGGTGGTTGCCAGGGGCTGGGGTAGTGGGTAACACGGAGTTACTGTTTAATGGGGACAGAGTTTCAGTTTTGCAAGATAAAAAGTTCTGGAGATGGAAGACGGTGATGGTTACATAACAGTGTAAACGTGCTTAACACTACACTTAGAAATGATTAAGATGGTCAACTTTATGCTGTGTGTATTTTACCGCAGTTGAAAAAAAAAGGAAATCTGTGATGAGGCAGGTAGAAAAGCAGAAGCTCTGAACATAAAAGAGAAGTAGTAGATGGCTCCTGTTTACCAAACACCTATAAGCAGGCCCCACTCCTGCCACTTAAAAACAGAAGCAAACCCCAAACCCTTCCTTCCCAGGCCGGCTCCTCTCATCCTTCAAGTCTCAGCTCGAACAGCAGCGCAGAAAGACCATTACCGCTCACCCTATCTAAAAGGTGTCTGCTTGTTTACATGCATCTCAGACCCTTTTGTGCCTTCTTATGGTACTTATCATGTACGACATCCGCAACACTCTTACTCATCTGTTTACTTGTTCATAACAGTCTCCCTACCAGGCCACAGGCCACAGAGGGTAGGGGCTATTTCCAGCTCACTCACCACTGATCCTGGCACCAACTCCATGCTGGCTGAATGCATATGCAAGGCATCCTGCTAAATTTTATGTGCATTCTCATTTAATCTTCACCAGCAATGTGGATATTTTTCCCCCATTTTGTGTTTGAGGAAACTGAGGCTCAGAAAGATTAAGCAGTGAGCCCACATCACAGAGCTGGGGAGGGGCATGGCCAGGACTCACCTGGGAACTCACCTGGGAACGGGATGGGTTTAGAGTGGAGGAAACACGTTTCCTTAGTATTGATACGACCTCTTTCAAGTGTAGGGATCAGGTCATGACGACCGGCAGGTCAGGCCCAGACCCTGTAAAGCTGTGTTACGTGTAAGGCGTGATGCAACAAACGCTGAGGCTCTTCCATGTGGTCAGCTCAGATGAGAAGGTAAAACTAAGCACCTGCCGAGACCGCAAGGGTCACAGCGTCCAGCTCCACTTTGCCCAGATGTCCAGAGAGCATGGAACTGACGGTGCTGATGAGAAAGATCATCAGCTGCACAAGGAACCACGGGGACACAGAGGACAGCAGGTTCGCACCATGCTGAGCCCTGTGGGGACAGACCAGCTCCATGCCGGGCTGGGGAGGGGACCTCCAGGATGGCTGGACACAGCTCCTGATGGGGACGGGGACCCGGCTCTGGAACCCCCTGCCCGTGTGGCCTCCCGACCTGCCTCTGGGCACCCCCAGGATCGCACCAGGCGAGAGAAAGGGCAGGGAGTGTGAGAAGCTTCTGGAAGGTGAGGCTGTGCAGTGAGTAGGGGAACGGAGATGGGGTGTGAGGCCCCGAACAAAGCTGGGGCCACCTCCGCCACCAAGCCCAACCTGGAGGGCCGCGTTCTGTGGCAGCCTTTATCTGAGTCTGTCCCTGGAGAGGGAACCTCCATTTGTGGACCTGAGCAGAGTCTATCTCTGGGCAGCAGTTAGGGGGTCTTTGCTCCCAGTAGCTGACTTTCCTGATTTTCTTCATTATCTGTTCTTCCAGGGCAGGGGCCATGCCTCTCTCACTGTGTCCAGCCTAGCACAGAGTGTGCTTAGTGTGCACTGGGGGTGCACTGCACCCCGGAAGGTCACTGCTTCATCTAAGGCCTTTATTGAAGCTATACACACCACCCCCACCAGGAATTTTCAGTACTCGCTTGGATTTTCACAGCTCCAAAGACTATATTGCAGTGCCCACAGTGCCTGAGATCTAGACCCCACCCCAAATGAAGATTAGCAAGTGCCCTTTGCCGGTTGAATAATACTCTAAGACACAAGGAAAGACATATTGTAAAATATATTTTAAATAATTCAAACAGTAAGAATCCTTAAGCACTGAGTATATGGGTTTGTGTCCAGAAAACAGTAGGCAGAAGCTAAGTCCAAGCCGTCTATCAATGCAGTCAGCACAGTGGTCCTTGGCTGAGACAGTGGTTGATGAGTTATTACTCAGATGTCATCTCTCAGACATTGTCTTGGACCAGAATATAGTGTTTACTTTAGTTCCTTTCTCCATTAGAAAAATGTTATCTTTGAACTCCCAATTCTTGAACTCCATGGGCACGGCCGAGTGTCATTAGCTGAAGATGAACCGCCCGTGCTGGGCCTCTGAATTATTTGTAATCTCAAAAGTATCACCTGACCTGACTCTCGTGTGACCACATCACTGAACTGGGGCATATAATCTCACTAAGATCCCCACGAGCAAGATGAAAGCGACCCCTAGAAGCAGGAGCCCTCGCCGCAGCACCAACTGCTTCCTGGACAACCGAGCGCTGCCCTCCAGGTGGACCTGCGAAGCCTCGTCCTGGCGCATCTGCTGCTCCAGCTGAGGCTTGTCCTTTTCTCCAGCATCTCTCATTAAAATGCCTCCACGGTTTTCGGGGCCCACTGGAGGGAGAAAGGAGCTGAGTTAGCAGCTTAGAAGGAATTTTTCTCCATCTGTATAAAAGGGGATGGGTACCAGTGCTAACAGCTGGGAGAAAGTGCATCCAGGAAGCAGTGGCTACAGCGCAGGAATAAGAGCATCCCTATCTCAGAGTCCCCAAGAGCTCCCCCACAAACACTGCCTGTCCTCCTGCTGTCACCTGGCTGCTCCAGGGAGCTCTGCCCCAGAGCTGGAGAGAGAAGGCAGCTCTCTAAGTTAACACTCACAGGGGACTTTTTCAAGGGGCCAACGCCCACCCCATGTAATAAGCATCTCAAAGAGAACAAAGCAAACAGAAGGAGGACAAGCTAGGAAATAATTCAAGGGCATTCACAGAATGGAAGAAACATGTGGGTCTCCACATGCAGGGTCTAAGCACCAGCAGGGTAACGACTCACACCTAGACTTGGTCTCATGACACTTCAGAACAGTAGAAGTAATGGTAGGACATAACGATAATAGGACAATAAGCGAAAAGCTTCTCAAGAGAAAACTAAAGGCACTAACAGGACAAGAATGAGACTGGCATCCGACTTCCCAATAAGCATAAGTGGCGATCAGGAACGTCACGATGACCTCGGAGCTCTGCGAGAGGGTAATTTTGACCAGCGCATGCTCACAACACGTTGAGCCTGTGTTCTCAGTGCTCAGTTCTCACAACAGATAGAGTGGAGCAAGCACCGTTATTACCCTGATTTTACAAACCAGGGAAACCAGCACTTAGACCAACCTTCCTCTGAAGATAATGACAAAATCTGAATGAAGGAAATTAAAAATATCACTTTGAAGGGTCAGGGAGCTACCGATGTAGTGAATCACAGAGGGCGAGATGTAGAGGAAGCTAAACACCCGGAGGGGTGAGCCCAGCCTTTGGGGCTAGTTTTGCCCTGAGAGTTCTCCATCTGCAACATGTGGCTAATTGGCTATGCAGTGCTCTGGGGACTTCAGTATCTATTGAGTGGGGTCCTGGTACACCTCTCCACACTGGGAAGGGCCGCATCCAAGAATTCGGCGTGCACCAGCAGTAGCAGCCAGCCCTCCCTGGCAGTGGCACGCCTCCAGGGCAGCCGCAGGATCCAGAAACCTCCATTTGTGAAACTGCCCTGGACTGCTGGTAACCCTAAACAGGTTACAACTGAAGCAAAAGAAAATCTTCTGAGGATAGCCAACCCTGTTGTAGCCCTGGAATTACTTCTACTGCTGTGGATTGAATGT